AGGAAGCAGGCTCCCTGCTTAGCAGAGAGCCCAATGCGGGGCTTGATCCCAGGACTCTGGGATCATAACCTGAGCCGGAGGCAGAAGCTTTAACCCACTGAGCCACCCAGGCTCCCCGGGCATCTCAGCTTTTAAAAAATATTTGTATACTGCCTTATTCCAAAAACAGTTTAGTGTGAAGAGAAAATAATAGTTGAAAAGCTGGAAGAGTGAGGTGTATAAATGCATGTCATGAAACTTTGCCTCCCTGCCTCTGGTTGGCCTGAGATTTGTGTCTTGTATTTCTAGCAGGCAGCACATGGAAGCAAGTGTGATCAGTTGTAAGACTGAGAGTATAAATACTGTGTTCTGTATAGTATAACCACCCCTCACCTGCCCCGCCAAGAAAAAGCCAAACTAACAAACCACCGCTAATGCAGTGATGAAGTACTCACCTTGATGTTGACACATGAGAGCTATTTCTTCTCTGGGATTTAATGAGTTAGTTGGTGACAGTATCCATGAGTTCCCTGAACCTTGGTTTCTTTGCCTGTACAATTAAGATAGAAGTATTTAATTTGTCTGGTTGTGATGATTGCATGAGGTAATAGATATGAGACCTAGGCAGAACCTGGCACATTTAAGTATCCAACAAATTGTTACTATCATCTGTAGGTACAGTAAACACAGTAATATGTTTCCTAAAGGAGCTAATAGATCTGTCTTGCATATAGAGGCATATGGTGTTTAAGTACCCAGTCCTTTATAGAATTTTGAGTTTGGCCGGAGCAAAACCCTCTTCTGGTTTGATGGGGTTTAATTCTACAAAATTCTAAGTCGTCTTTGGTGGTGTCTGTGAAAGCCTCTTTAACTCGAATGACTACAGAGTTACTAAGTGTAAGAGTTCTCTGTTGGCCTGAAAACATGATAGCAACTATCAATGACATGAATTTAGAAATATCTCAGGAATTGGAAGAGTTGGACATGATAGCATTGCGGTACTTCTGCTTTCAGCTGAAGTGGAGCAAGTGATGTTAGCAAGAAGGGTGGGAAATGCAAGCATCACCTAGTGATAATTTCTGACATCCAGAGATAACTAGGAAAGCCATGTTTTCTTCCCAGTAGTACTGGCTGTGGGATGGATTATGAGATATTCCCAAGACATTTGGAGTTTGTTGGGAATTTACACCATCTGTCAGAGAAAGGCATGCAGGGTATTTATTTGAACACATGATACTGAGGCCACTGCCAAATCAAGGGCTGAATGCCCTTTGACTCACACCTAAATGAACACCATCAAATGTAGATTCCAGTAATTTTACTTTATACAATTTTAGTAGCAAAAATGCAAACTTTATTTTAATAATATTTAAAGCCATCACCTTAATTTTTTTTTCTCCTTGAGCATAGTTGAAACAAGTACCTTTTCTTATGAATTATAGCTATTTAAAAAAAATTATTGCTTCTCCTAGGAAGAAGTTTTCTGTGAAATTTTGGAAGCGGTTTTTGGTGACATTTCTAGCAGAGAGGTTTTATTTTATACACACACACACACACACACACACACACACACACACACACACTTATTTTTTAAGTCTAAAACTCTCTTACAAGTTAAGCAAGTATCTGTCCCCGAGTCTTTCAGCGTCTATGGTTTTGTAGACTCTTGCTGAATTGGAAAGCTTGTCTGTCAAGTTTCTCATCTTTTACTTTACATGTAAAATAATACTACACCCTCAACCTTTGTAGATTTCCTAAGTGCTTGCTGTCATTTCTATGAGTTGCAATTTTAAAAATAGCCATCAGTCTTCACGACATATTTCTGAGACAGGTTAAGATATTTTATTGAGAATAAATATTGGAATCCACCTATGAGAGTCTTATCAATAGTAGTGTATTTTCATCAGTAATTCTGCTTGCTGAAGACAGGTGCTCTGTGGGTGCAGCAAGAGTCTTCCCTTCGAGCTCATTTTACTTTTGGTATTTTTGTTACTTGGCATGTACGGCTTATGAAATATGTGGTCACCACCTTGAGAAAGCGTGCCTTCCCTTCACTCTCCAGAGCAAGGGTGTCTTGCTGTCCTCTCACGGGCGCAGAAGCTGAAGTGGACAGTGACTGAGAAGTAATTGAGGAAACACAGGCACCGTCCCTGAGTTCCTAAAGGTTTATTTAACCGCAGGATGATGCTCTTTCTCTTCTCCCCGAATCCAAGACAGAAAAGGAAAATTTAGTTACCAATAATGTGTGAGAGGAAAAGGAGGATGCTTTGAGTTTTGCCCAGTGTCATGATTTCTTCTGGCAGCTCTTGGAAAGCAATATCTTCTTTACTTGGGGAATATTCTGTTCTGCTGTGCTGTAAGGATGCCCACAGAAAAGCTCACAGCTATGTGGGCACCACAGAATTGTAGCTTCCCAGCGGCCATCACTGATAGTATTAAGAGTGCTTGTATGGGATGGGAGTGGGAACAGAAAGTGCACAACTGCCCATGTGCATGACGGATCTTTTTGGACTGGTGGAAATATTCTAAAATTAATTAAGGTGATGGTTGTAGAACTCTGTAAATATACTAAAAATCATTGAATTGTAGCTTAAAATGAGTGCATTTTATGCATGTAAATTACACCTCAATAAAGCCGATAAAAATGTCTGAAACTTGGGGTGTCTTGCAAGGAATCACAGTTCTGCTTGGTATCTGGGCTCCAGAGAGCATCATCATATCTGAGAGCTTCCCCACCTGTGTGCAAATGTGTGTTAAAGTGACTGAAGGGTGTGTGTGCGTGTTGGGGGGGCTCCTGAGGCAGCAGCTAGGGGAGATGGGGATAAGCTGCATCTTATTCACAAGGTGGTGGGGAGGGGGGGTGGTTGTGGGAGGGCATGTGATCATGGTGTGAATAAAATGGCACCATTTTTGTGGTGTTGTCACTCCAGTGAGGTCCCAGGTTGGGAATATTCCTCTCCGTGGGCTTTGAAAGCTCACTCTCTGAATCATTCTCTTTGGTTAGGTTGACAGCAACATTTTATAGTCAGAAATCTTACCTTAAAATGCTATCAGCCCATAGAAACGATCTTTCAAATGACTTATCAAAGACACTGTGGATAAATAAATTAAAAAAGTCTTTCTGTGTAATATCAGTATGACTAATGTAGCATCACTGCCTTTTTTTTTTTTTTTTGCTTAGTTGCCATTATTTAATAAGATGTAGAAAATATTTAACGTGACAGGTTTTTAAATTTTCTGGCTTCTTAATTCTTTTCATGATGTTTTCCTAATTCCTGAATGAAAGCAACCAAGCTCTCAGTGTTTGATTTACTAAAGAAATTGGTTGGCTTTGTTTACATACATTGTGTGACTTGAGACAAAGCGGCAGGTCTCCCTCCATAACCGGAGCACAGGAAACAATTGACACTGTTTCTTAATTCACATTGTTTCTGAGACATTTCCTACTTCCTAGTATAATATAGCTTTCCCATGAGAACAATTTGCTTGCTAATGGTTAGACATGATAAATTCCTCATTGGCACTCATTCTGGGAGGAGAATTTCACTGTGCTTTGTAATAGTTGAGTTGGTGTGTGTGTGTGTCTGTGTGTTGGGGGGAGTTTCATACTTTATATAGATGCCTCCAACTTCATTCCAAATACCAGACTTTTTTTTGGAATGCTAACCCATTCACTTAGGGATCTGCATTCCTTAGTTGGAAGCTCTCGCCTAAAGGAGCATATAACTGTTTTAATCCTTCCAATTCAAGGGAACACCCCTGTGAATTATACTGTATTTAGATATGCCTGATGAGTTCCTGTGAAAAGTAACTCACAGCACTTTATATTAGACATACTGCGTGTATAAGTTTTGCACGTTAGGTGTGTGGTATTCTCTATGGCATTGTAAAGTGGTCATCAAGGAGTACTTCTAGAATAGAATAGGAAGTGGCAAAGGTGAGATAATCTCATCTAATTTGCAATTCAAAAAAGAAAAGAAAGTTTTCACATTACTTCTGAGATGGTGGTTCCCACATTCAGAAGTTTTGCTGTATATAAAGTGAAAGTAAAAGTTTCCCAATTTTAAAAAAAAAAAAAAGACGTGGAACTTTGAGTTCTTTTTTTTCCCCCCTGTCTTATCAGATTTTGTAAAAATAATATCACTTGTCAGTTTTGCAGCTTCTTCCATCTAGAGAACTAAAAGCATTTCACAATCTTTTTTCCTCATGCCCTTCTCTTCAAGGCAATTTTTGCTGGGCTGGGTTTATTTTTATCATTGCAACAACCAGTTTTTAGAAACTTTTGGAAACGAAAAAAGAAAAATGAGAATGGCACTGTAACTGACATTCATTTTAGCTGTTTCCTAGTGTGAACATTTGAGTATTTCTAAAATCTTCTCTCCAAGTATGTCTTATTTTTTCTCAATTTGTCCCAGTTCTAAGTCTCTATTCTGCTGATTTGGTAAAAAAAAAAAAGGAAAAAAAAAGTTTTAACGTAAAACCTTATGCCCAGCAGAATGACTTCTTGAACTTTGAGTTAGATCTTTATTTTTTGCTGCTCCCAGACCTCCTTTCTCAGCACCCTGTTCAGTGTATCGCAGACTCAGGAAGGTTATAACTGGATAGGTCTCCTGGGATCACCCGAGGTAAGCCTCTTGTTACACAAATAATGAGATTGAGGCCCAGAATGGCTAAGGGACATGCTCAAGGTCAAATAGCTTATTGATGACCCAGGTATGACCAGAATCAAGGATTCCTGATTTCTGGCTTGGTACTTTTTGGTTTCCCTACACTTTTAAAAGGAGTCTATCTGAATAGAACTGGAGTACACCCTCGCAGAATCCCGGTGCCTGCCAACAGATTGAATTATACTCTAGCGACCTGAAAATTGGGAAGAGATTTTTTTTTTTTTTGAGTTTATTTGTCAAATATAAAATGGTAATGAATTCATAGACATTTCCTTCTGCCCAGAGGAGCTTGTGAAATTTCTGTGCAGCAGAGAATGTGCTTTGAAATGACTGGTGATCTGTGTACCTTCTCAGGCCACCATACCATCTACATTGGGGTCCATGTGCCGAAGAGCTACAGGAGAAGGAGACGCCACAAGAGAAAGACAGGGCACAAAGAGAAGAAGGAAAAAGAAAGAATCTCTGAGAACTACTCTGATAAGTCAGATGTGGAAAATGCTGATGAGTCCAGCAGCAGCATCCTGAAACCTCTCAGTGAGTACTTCCTGGGCATCTCTGTTCTTCTCCATCTCACTCCCACATTCTTGGGAAAGACACCTTTTGGGATCTTGTGATGAATGGGGAGGGGCGCAGTCATACTGAGGTGGTCTCCTCTTGAAGGGTAATGTCTGTGGGACTCTTTTCTTGTCCTAGCAGGTTGTTCTAGGAGATCTGGTAGGATTCTGAAAAGATATGAAAAAGTTTAGGCATGTCTGTGGTTTTTACATTTTGAGTCGTGAAATAGGGCTGAGTGTTATACATGGTATTTAACTACAGTAATCAATAGTACTGGAAGACTCAAAGAAATTTTTGGATTGCTTTGGCTTCGAAATAGGTTCTTTTAAGACAGTGGGTCAAGATGAGAGCTATATATACATAGGATATTGATAGGGTTATAGATGGCATCTAACCAGGCTTTGGGCCAGGTCGATGATTTGAAAAGGGAAGAGTGGACAAGCATCCTGTGAATCAGAGAAGAACGTAGAGCAATACAGTTCTTGAAATGTTGAACATTAAGTATCAGACATTGGATAGGAGTGTTATTAAGAACAGGGTAACAAGAGCTCAGAGGACAGACACCCAAGGCTTCGTTTGAGAGGGTGCGTTGTATATTCAGGGATATGCATTTGTTGCTTTTGCTTCTTTGGATGTGGAGATTATTTGGCCATCCAGGGAGCTTTGTGGCTGAAGTGAGAACGAGTACGTGAAGAAGGGAGAAGCAATAGAAACACATGCCAGTTTTGGAAGATTCCCCAACAGGAGCTCCATAGTGACAGCTTTTCATGCTGGCAGAGCTCTGTACATGCTTCTTCTTTTTGCTGCAGTCACCGAAATATGGAGCCCGCAATAAAATGCGCTCTGGGTGGCACAGATAAGGGTCCCGCTCAGTCACCGCAGGTGATGAGAGCACGGATTAGAACCAACAGCTCAGGAGTGTTGAACCGTGAATTTACAGAGTTCAATTAAAGAGGGTGTGAAGCGTAGGGATGTGAATCTGTGAATCTCGAATACTCTCACTACGGACACCGAGCAGGTGGCTTAGGAGCTAGTGAAGTCCTGTCCTGAGAGGAACCGTGCAGATGGACCACCGGATTAGAGAGCCACAGTGGGAGGAAAGCGCGGAGACAGACCACAAAATTCACACTGCAAGGTATTAGAACAAATGTGAGACAGGAAGGACCAAAGGGCAGGAGATAGGAATTCTGCACTTTTCATTAGACTGTTGGGGAAAAGCCTGCCTGAAAGGAATCCTTCCTATACTGACTGAAATCATGGGATCCGTTTCAAGCAAAGTCCTTGAGATGCAGATTAAAAAGGTCATAGTTAATAGTCTGCAGGAACAAAAGATTACACCCTTTTCCAAATAAATTACTACTGTTTATTTCTGTTTGCTATCTGTTTCAGCGAAGTTGTGCCAGAACCAGAGGTCTCTCCCTGGGGAGTGTGTGTGTGTGTGTGTGTGTGTGTGTGTGTGAGAGAGAGAGAGAGTGAGATCTCTTGCTCTCTCCCTCCCTCTGTCTCTAAGTCATCTCTCATTCTGCAGGGTATGAACGAGAGTGCATTGTTACTATAAATAGTGAAAAGGTGAGAGATGCTCACCTATACACATGGGCCAAGGGCTTTTGAGATAATTATGTACCAGCTTTTTAGGAAGGGCAGCAGGAACAATGCCAGTAACACTCGAGAAGTGAAAGGGGACAAGCAGATCAGAAAGGTGCTGGGACTAAATGTGCACTGACCGCGGGGGCCTGTTGGTTTCTGTGGCAGCTGGGAACTAGCTCGCGCGCAGCACGTTGGGTAAACAAGGCCACCCATTCTCTCTACCCTCTGATGTTTCCTCCCCGGGGTGTACTGCGTTGTGTTGTATACTCTGTTTCTGAAGGGGTCATATGGAGAGACTGTTGTTAAGGACCAATTGTTCAGTGATCATAAGAAAATTATTTGTAAATGTGCATTTTTCAGTTAGTTATTTTCTTGCTAGTCAGTAAGTTATGCTATCCTATGCCTCGACATATTTGACACGGATTATCCAATTTTTTTAAAAGAGCATTGGTGATCTTATTTATTTATTTATTTATTTAGACCACTTCCAGGGGAGGGGCAAAGAGGGAGGGAGAGAGAGAATCTCAAGCAGTCTCCATGCTCAGCACAGAGTCTAGTTCCTGGGCTCAGTCTCACGACCCTGAGATCATGACCTGAACCAAAATTAAGAGTTGGATGCTTAGCCAACGGATACACTCAGGTGGCCCCGATGGGTCATCCAATTTGATATGAAGGTCCTCTTAGAAATTTATATTTTCTTTATTGCTTATCATGGAGACCAGATGGATTGGTAGCTGGTTTACCTGGAGCACTTCTATGTGAAAGTGAGAATTGTTGCACCACGTATAGAAAGGCATTTAACTCTAGGTTTTTGGGGAAGCTACAGGGCTCTGGCACCAACCTAACAATAAAATTCTTAAGGGAAAACTCACTGAAATATCTCCCTAGGATACCATTTGATACCATAATTTTCTCTCAAGAACAGCTCCACAGAGTTTGTTATTCTTGGTTCTAGAGTGTTTGAGTTCCTTATGTGCATACAGGCATACCGTGTCCCATAGATCAGATTCCTGCACGAGCCTGACATCACATCAGGTGATGCTTGTAACTTCTGGAAAAACCCTGTGTATAAATAGAGTAACTTGATGAGAGTCATCTCTGATTCCTTATTTCACCCTCATATACAATCCTTCCATGACTTTTATTAGTTCTACTTAAAATATATCTGAAACTGTCCACTGCTCTTTAGTTTTGCTGCCACATTCTGGTCCAGGGAATCTCTTGCTCAGACAATTGCCACAAGCTCCACTCTTCAAGTCTTTTTCCACCGAAAGGCACCAGTGATCATCATAAAATGTAAATTGGGTTATGCCCTTCCTCTGCTGAAAATTTCCTGTTGTCCTTAGAATAAAATCTTATTGGACATCATGGCCCACAGTGTCTCACCAGTCCTGCCATGTACCCTTCTCATCTTGCTCACTTTAGTTCAGCCACACTGATTTTTCAGTTCCTTGGTGCCCAAACCCCTTCTGCCTCAGGGCCTTTGCACATGTAGCCCGTCTTCTTGGAATGGTCACCCCATTCTTGTCCTAGTTAGCTTTTCTCTTTATGTTCTAGCTTTTTTTCTTTTTTAAAGATTTTATTTATTTATGTGTGAGAGATGGAGAGAGAGATTGAGCGTGAGAGTGAGCACAAGCAGGGAAAGCAGCGGAAGGCAGAAGGAGAAGCAGACTCCTCACTGAGCAAGGAGCCCAATGCAGGACTGGATCCTAGGACCCTGGGAACGTGACCTGAGCTGAAGGCAGACCCTTAACCGACTGAGCCACCCAGGTGTCCCGCGTTCTAGCTTTCGTATGTTGTGGAGACAGACTTTTCCTATTATTCTATCAACTTATGTTCTCCAGTGTCATTCGTTCTCAGCTCTTTCTTTCCTTCATACTTTACGCTTCAACTTGCAATGTTGCGAGCATGTGCCGATGCTGCATTGTTAGCTCAGTGAGTGATAGGATCAGAGTTGTCTTGTTCACTGTGTTATTTCTGGAACTTAGCACAGTGCCTGGCACATAGTACGTGCCTAATAAATGCTTATGGAGGAGTAAGTGAGTGAATGGATCACTACAGAGGAAGACACAAATGTTGCTTTTATTGGTGTGAGTATTTCACAGTAATTGATCAAGATCCAGCTGATTTTCTTGTTTTTAGTCCTTGCACATCATCTTTATCTTTCCCTGCTCTGCCTTCTTCCCTCGCCACATAAAATCTGGCCCTAACTTTTTAATTATTCCACTTTGCAAAGTGCCTCATTATTTTAACTATTGCCACAGTGGCATTTTGGTTTGGGTAGATGACTTCCGAGCGTGTTGTGCTGCTTGTTGCCCCCAGCTGATGGAAGAAATTCATCCGCAGGCCACATGGATTCATCATGCACACTTCGAAATGCTTACTATTCCGCACAGAATCCAGGCAGCCCAGCTTCAGAAGCCGTGTTAAAGAGGCACGGAATTGAATAATTAAGGGCATTTAGAAGAAGAAATAAGCCAAGTGTCTTCCCGTGTGTAGGCGCATCAGGAGGATGACATAATTAACAGGTTCATTTGGCTCATACCCGAGATGCTTCTCCTATTCTTTATGGCTCTCCTGTCAAGGCAGGGCTTCCAAAAAGTGAGTGCATGTTTTGGTTCCCACACATCTGGAGCCTTGAGGAGGAACTGGATCTGTTCCTCCCAGCTTGGCGGCAGCCCCGAGACCTTAGGCAGCCGCTCTCCCCGGTGTGGTGTCCGAACCGCCCGCCCAGCTTGGGACACAGGGAAGGAAACGCATGTGAGAAGGTGTGGTTCGCTGAGCAGCCAGGGAGGGAGGCCGGGGAAGGAGAGTGAAATGGAAGAGAGGCAGGAGGAGAGACAAGGGAATGAGGAGGTGGTGTGGAGTGGGTGGTGGAGAGAAAAGTTAGATTGTGCTCTTTCTTAAAAATAATCCTTTTTGCCTCCTCCACCGTGCGTTTTTTTTTTTTTTTTAAAGTTAGCAGCTGCCATCCTCTGAGGGTTGCCCAGAAAGTGGGTGGGAAGGTGGTCTTTGATGAGTTGGGCCCTAGAAACACACCACAACGTCCACAAATGGTTTTGACCTCCGAACTTCTCATTCGGTTAGTGTCCTGGGATATTGGTGGGGGAATCCCAAGCTGCTTTGTGAGTGCGGAGACTCTGAAGATGTGTAAGATGTTAGGAAACAGAGCGACAAACAGAATATCCCATTCAGCCTATCGGTCTGATGTGTGAGGGATTTCTGGACAAGCTGGAGCAGGCATCAGTGCTTGGAGGTGCTAACGGCTTCTCACACGTATGACTTGCCTGTTGTGGAATCATACTGTGAGGTATGTGCGTACAGACACTCATTCAGTCTTGTGGTATTCTTTTTTTAGCCCTTTGGATATGTACCAGAACTGACGGATTTAT